GTGTGTGTGTGTGTGCGTATGCCTGTATGTGTGCTTATGTGTGTATGTGTGTGCGCCCGTATGTGCAAGGGAAATGTAAACATAATATTATAATACCCGCTTTTTGTAGCTCCGTTCATATATCTATTTTGTAATATTATTATTCCAAATTATAATTAACCCATACTTAGCAATGCAGATTCTGACCTAGTTGTTTTTATTATGCAGTCGGCTGCTGAACTTCTTTTCGTCGTCCTTAATTTTATTGCGTTACAATCTCCCTGTTGGTCTATATTTAGAGCCTAACAATAAACTTTATTTTTCTCAGTTTGGGACGTACTGAAATGTGCGTCTGTGAGGGTATTTACATATAACAGTGCGGTCAAAAATTTGTGACGCAACCTATCCTCAAATATCTTCTTTAACGGGTGATTCGATGTCACCCATACTTTGCACAGCAGTTTGTATCAATTTGTCTTAACTTAATCACATTTTCCCACAACAACTGAGGCTCAAATAAAAAAACTTTTCTTCATAATTTTAAGTAAAATACTATGAATCTCCATTACGAGGAAAATATGTTTGATCGATTCAAAGCATTTCCCGCTTCTCGAAAACAATCACACTTTTTTGTGGCAAAACTTCTTACAAGAAATTACTTTTATAGTAAACACATTTTTTGCACCAAAGGTTCCCTTAGCATACGTTCAATAAGCATAATGTTGCGATTAGAAAAAAATTATAGACTTGCTTTTAAAAGCGATATTGCTCGAGCTGTAAACCTTTAAAAATCTATGGAAACCACTGAAAGGGATTTATTATTATTATTTTTATAAAAGAATTTTCTAGAATACTGTGTGCCACAATTTGAAAAAAAATATTCACTAGCTAAGACAATTGATATAAATCATTGTGGAAAAGTTGGAGAATCTATCATGTTCGATAGTTAAGGAGATATGACAAAAGGTTGCGCCAGGCATTTTTGACCGCACTATAATTGATAAAACACTCGTTCCATCTACAGTTGAACCTGATCAAACTACCACTAATATCACCATCTGTTCCAGACAACCACCTGTATAAACAGCCACTTCCCACTTCATCCCTAGCGGTCTTTCTTCTATAGTATTGTTATGACAATATCTAAGAGGACCATCTGTCTAGTACGGGGTGCCCGCTATGGATGGGATCGGCCGATCCGATCGCCAGACTCGGTCGCCTCAAAAACAAAA